CCTGGAAGTGTCTAAGGCCAGGTTGGAGCAAGCTGGGCTAGTGGAAGGTGTCCCTGCTCATTGCAGGAATTTGGAACCGGGTGATCTCTCTTCCAACCCAAACCATTCCATAATTCTCTGATTTTGGATACTGTCCATCTCCAACACCTCCCCATGTTCTACTTTGTTACCAGGATATGAACTGGTATTTATTTCCCCATCCTCACAGTCCTTGGCAGCTCTGTCAGGAGAGGTTGTCTCTGTCCACCCCTGATTTTGTTGGAGGAATTTTAGGAGCTCCCAGTTCCTCAGCTCTGCACCACCTTCCCTTCCCACCCATCGTGGACACACAGTATTGATGCTCATCAACCTTTGCAACCCAAATTAGAATCCCAGAATGGTTTGGGTTGGAAGGGACCCTAAAGCCCATCTCATTCCACCCCCTGCCATGGGGACACCTCCCACTATCCCAGGTTGCTCCAAGCCTTGTCCAACCTGGCCTTGGGCAATTCCAGGGATGGGGAGTCCACAACCTCTTGAGCTGGTGTGAGATGTTCACAGTCCACTTTTTCTAGTATTTTAATGAAGAACTAAGAGACATCCATTGTGCATCTCAGGTTATGGGTTTGGGAACCCGTGGAGATCCATAACTTGAATTTTAAGCCTCTCCTATGGATCGTGTGCCAGATTTCATGGCCCAGTTCCTTCCTGAAGAGCTTCTTTTTCTTCTACTTGGAAACATCTCATGGTCCACCACGGAGAAGTTCCTCCCTGTGGGTGCTCCTCAGCCCTGCCAGCAGGTCCTCACAGCCCCTGGGAGCACTCGTTTCTCTGCAGTGACAACTCTTCAGACTCAGCTTTGTTCCAGCAGGGAAACAAATGATGGAGAGGGATAGAAGTTTTTCTTTAATCTGACCCAGTTCAGGGTATTTTGGGTGACTCCTCCCTCTTCCCACAACTCTCTGGAATTACCCAGATGGGAATGAGCTTTGGTAATTCAGTCTGTGATGGGGAACAGCTTCAAAGTGGGGTTGTGTGGGAATGGTGTGAGTGAAGGATAAGCTCAGTGTGGAAACTGAGTGAAGTAGAAGCTCAGTGTGGAAATTGAGACCTTCTCTCTGTTCCTCTTGCCTCAATTCCTACCCATCATCTCCCACCTCTTTTCCTCACAAACTTCTCCAGAGTCCACACAGAGATTTATTCTCCAGCTTCAGTATCCTCAAGGTGTCACTTTGTCCCTCTGGATGAGGAACAAGACGTCCCATCGCTTGGCTTTTCTAGGATAATCTTCCAAGAGTTTATCTAAGGAAGATGACTTTGAGACCTACATCCTTCCGTGAGGAATTCCGAGATGGTTTTTCCCCAAAAACTTGTCCGACCACCAGCACATTGTCTAGGTTCCCTTCCACAGGAGCTGCTGGAACTTCGATCCCGTGGCTCCGCCGTCGGGAATTCTGATGGTGTTGTGTAAATCTTCCCCTGAAATGATGTTTTTGAGGAACGAAGCCGCCAGCTGTGCCACTTTGAAGCCCCGGGACGTGCCAGGCCCCGTCCTCGCGCGCGGAGCCGCGTTTGGGGGCACACAGGAGGTCCCCCCGCCCGCCATCGTTCCTTTACAGTGGATGTCTCTTTTCTGGTGGGCGTTTGAACTCTTTATTCTTTGTCCATTGTAAAGGGCTTAACGGTTCCTGTGCCTTGATTCTTTCATCAGTGAAATGTTTTGGAAGAGAGGTTAGAGTCCCCCTGTGACCTGCCCTGGGTGGCCCAAGCCTGTAGCCCTTGCAAAGACATTACTTTTTTGGCCTGAACACAAACCCCTCAAACCTTTAGCCTGGCTAAATGCTTTGTACAAACAGCCGCATACTGATCTGCTCTATTCTCCTGTGATTTTCTGCTCAAGGGGCTGTACTGTGGGTTGCTTGCTATGTTTGCCACTTGCCTTGGTAGTGAAGACGGAACAATAAACAAATCCGACAGTACTGAGGCCAACACTGTGCTTTGGTTGTTCCGAGAAAATTATCCTGAAATCTGGTTGAAGAGATTAAAACCAAGAAGAACTGGCTGTGTCTCTCCTCTAAAGCTCCGTTCTCTTCTTTGTTTCTTCTTTTTTTTTTTTTTCTTTCCTCCCCCTTTAAGACTTCGTTCATTCCTCCTTCAGACTAAGTTGGTGGCATTGGTATGTAAAGTGTGACCTACGATCACAGGAGTACGGCCGTGGGGTGAAGCGTTGCGTTCATTCCTGCCCGGGCTCCTCCCGGCCAAGGGCTGGAGCGGCTTTCTTGGAGTGTCTGGGCCATGTTCTCCCTCTCATTTCTCCTCTAACGCGAATCATATCAGCTCATTGTGCTGGTTGGATGTCAGTTGTGGAATCATGGAATGGTTTGGGTTGGAAGGGGCCTTAAAGATCATCCAGTTCCAACCCCCTGCCATGGGCAGGGACACCTCCCACTGGAAGGTTCCAGTACATCATTAATTCAGTAGAGACTCTTCTTTTAGTGAGAATTGCTCTTCAAACAAGTGTTGGTTCAATGTTGGACCATCATCATGTGCTGTGGGGAAGAGCAGTGTCACTCCACAGCTCTCCCAGCCTTCCTCCCATATGATTCCTGAAGAATCACAGAATCACAGAATGGTTTGGATTGGAAGGGACCTTAAAGATTCCAACCCCCTGCCATGGGCGGGGACACCTTCCACTAGCCCAGGTTGCTCCAATCCCCATCCAGCCTGGCCTTGGACACTTCCAGGAATGGGGCAGCCACAGCTGGGAACAATGAGAAGGGACGATGGCAAGAGACAGCTAAAGGTGAGCTGCTGACAAGCAACCACATCTTGAACTGGAATCTCTCTTGGGTTGCTCATGAGCAGACGACAACAGTGACAAATTCACGGGTGTTGTGGAAACATCCCCAGTCACAGCCGCTTTTTCATGAGGGTTTGACGTTCATGCTTTTGGGAGGATCTTAAATTTCACAACTCCCTGTGTGCCTCTCAGTCGATTCCTACCAGCTGCAAAGCCCTTCATCCAAAATAGAAAACCCGCTTTCATCGCGGCCCTTTCAGGGTTTGCTTCCCAGTGTTCCTCCAGATATAATCAGGAACATGATGTGACCCTGTCCTTGGATGGTGGGACACTGGGACTGGATACCTCAACCCAGGGATGTCTGAGCCACCCAGGGGAGTTTCATCCCTTGGGAAGATGCTCCAACACTGTTTCTCACATCTAAATATTTTTAGCTACTCAGGTATGTGCTTTTCCAAAGTGGAGCTGGTTTAGGATTGATGTGGCTTTGGGGATAATTTTTCCAGATGAGACAGTGGGGTGCAGAGGGAATGTGTGAGGATGATTTATCCCTTGCAGATCAGAGGCAGAAGGCTTGGGTTAGTCCTCCCTTGTGTGTGTGCTGGCTCGGGTAAGCTGCAGGCAAGTTTTACAGCCAACATACATTAAAATCCCTTTACAGTTAGAATTAATTAAACCAGTTTTCTGAGGGGTAAATGTAAACTCCCTGTGTCCTGAATATTGCAGGACTGGGCAGTGAAACTGGCTGGAAGCTGAACAGCTCCAATCTCATGGAATCATGGAATGGGTTGGGTTGGAAGGGACCTGAAAGCTTATCTCATTCCAACCCCGTGCCACGAGCAGGGACACCTTCCATTATCCCAGATTGCTCCAAGCCCCTTCCAACCTGGCCTTGGACACTTCCAGGGATCCAGAGGCAGCCACAGTTTCTCTGGGCAACCTGGGCCAGGACCTCCCCACTCTTCCAGCTGACAATTCTTTCCCAATAATCTCTGTCCAGTCCTATCCCGTGCAAAACTCTGCAGGCACAACCACGGATGGTTCCTCCTGACTCTGATTTGTGCTTTTCCTATCCAAAACCTAGATGGGAGTGATCCCATCCCTAATTTCTCCTTGTATATTTTCATTATTCCTCTCGACTAGCAAGGTGGGATAAAAGTGCTGGTTTTCCAGGCGTGTTTGCTGCTGTCCTGCAGCAGTTCTCACTTGACTGATCACCGCGAAGATGAGCGATGGCTCCAATCTCAAAGCTCTTCTGGCATCTGAGACTATTAAAAGGCAGAGCTGTGGGTGTCTGAGAAGTGGCCACAGTGCCCCTGGAGGTACCTGTGTCTGTGTTGAAGGATGTTCTCCATCCCAAGGTTTTAATGGAAGGTGGAGCAAGAGAAAGTTGACGAATAACCCTTCTTTGCTTCCCAGAAATAAGGGCTGAATCCTGGTGTCTAATTCATTAATCTTCTCGTTAGAGCCATGGGGCTGCTCCTGGGATGGGGCTGCTCTAGGAAGTCTTTCAAAATAGGAATGTGATGATTTATTTTCCTTCTTCTGTGGCATTTACTTGATAGGTTTTGGAAGGAGAAGCGTTCAAGGAGAAGACCATCTGGCACGAAGTGACTTTGTCCATTAGTCCCTCTGATTAGCCACGGAGACAAAAGGCAAAATCCTCCTTCCTTGTTGTCGAGCCATCCTTAACCCTCATCCTTGTGGAGCTTTAGGAGTTGTTCTGAGGATCTCTGTGGAGTAAAAAGCAGGATAGTTGGGCAATAATGGGCCATATAAGTGTAAAATCTATGTGCTGGTGTATATTTTCCTCTCCCTTCTTCCTTGTCACTCAATTTCATCCCGAGAAAACGTTTCATTCCATGTGCAGCATCTCCAGGGCCGAGGGCAGACGCTCCCTCTCGAGTCTTTGGCGACGTCGAGTTGTGGCTTCACAAACAAAGCCCCCTGGGTGCTGAAAGGAGCAGAGAGGAGATAAAGCTGTAACCAGAGAGGGTGAAAGCGAAGTGAAGTCGGGCAAAACCAACTTTGGGCGCGTCGTCAAAAGGCGCCCTCGGATACGTGTGGCCGTTGGCTCCGCGGGCACCGCCGAGCAAAAGCCGCTAAGAGCCATGGAAGGACTAAAGTCCTCTGACACGGCTTCATTCAAGTGGGTTTAGGTTTGGCTTAAAGGATGGATTAGAAGGAAAAACGAATGACCAGAGTATGAAATTTTGGCCAGGTTGCACTGGGGAAGGAGATAAATGTGGCCCTTGGGAATATTCTCTTCGCCTCGGAAGCCAATGTTATTGTGTTGTCAGATGTCTTCATCCACCAGGAATCAACGTGCCACCCAACGGTTCTTCCCGAGAGCGCGCCGCCACCAGATCATGCAAATGATCCGCTGCCCAGTAATTAATGGTGCTGCCGGGCATATTTTTTTGATGAATGCTCATGGGGCCTGGTGACAGGCGTGAAATTAGAAAATTCCTTCAGCGCCCTAAAATATAAATAGCTTTCGGAACTGAAAAGGAGTTTTCACAGCTGAAGATTTTATTGTGTCGAGAGGAAAAACTTTTTCCACCCCCCCGTCCCCCCTCTTTCTTCTGGGCGAGTTGTTTGTCCGTTCACAAAACAAATACTCTGGAGCCCAGTGCGGCTCATGGGAATAAATTTCAGGTCGAATTAGTACAGTTTCCTTGCTGTCAGGACGGTGGAATTAATGGTGTTTTGATGACACGAATTTTGAAGGGCGAACAAAGACGCTGAAGGGAGGGAGACATGACTCCTTAGAAGCGCAGTCCTCCTCTCCCCCAGCCTCTCTTGTCTTCCCTGTCATCCGTCTGCCAATCTCCCTGTCCATGGTTAGTTAAAGGCGCTTTTTATCCTCTTTTCTTTCCCACAGAGTTTGCCAGATCCGGCCCAGTGCCTGGGTTCCAAGGGGACACGCTGCAGTTGGCCTTCATCGACTTGAGACAAGTAAGTCTTTGTGTTTTTGTTTTTTGTTTTTCTTTTAAGATGTGTGACTGAAGACCATCAGGTCTTAAGGGAAGGGGAGAGGAGGGGAAACGGCGTCAGTGATTTACGCCAGAGACCTATATTTCCCCCCTCCTCCTCCTCTCCTCTCTTGAAGCCACCTCCTTATTGAGCCCTCTGGGGCTCCTGGAGGTGGTGGAGGTGAAAAGGGCTGGTGGGATGAGGGTGAGGAAGAAAGCCAGGCCTGACCCTGGGCCGGTGGGGCCCATTGTGCTCCCGTTGGCTTCTGCGGCCGCGGCGCGGAGGGAACGCGGCGGCTCCGCGGGTGGACGCCGAGCAGGTGGTGGAACAGAGAGAGCAGTGATGCAGAGCCCGCCCGCCTCGGGGACTTTTGTTCCCAGATAATGCCCCCAGAGGCGTTTGGGAGGGCAGGGGGGATTTGCATTCCCCTGTGTCCGTGCCCCTTCGGAGGTTGTGGCCCTCTCTGGCTCGGCCACCCCCCCCTCCCCGGTCCCCTCTTCCCCGGCCATGAATGACAAAGTGGCTCTTGGGGAAGGTGACTGGGGAAGGCTCCACCCATCGGTGGCCACCTCTGGAGGGGGCCCCGTTAGAGCCAAGTTGACCATAGCAGGTAGTGAGGCATCTGTGGGGCTTGGCAAGCCAGTTTAGGGAAAAGGGCCATTCTGGGGAGTCATTTGTTTGGGGTAGAAATGGGCATTATTGATACACTAGGCTGGGGGGAAAAGTGAGGTGGTCCTGTCATCTCTTGGCACCGAAGATGGATGGGTTGGATAGAAAGTCTGAATGAAGTAAGACTCAATGACTGATGCTTCTCTCCTATTAAAACAATCTTTTTTTGTCTGTTAAACCCCCCTGGCTTTGTCCCTCCTGCCATCATGATGCAGTGCCTCTTGTTTTCAGGGTTGACGTAGCTTGCATTCTGAAAACTTTCGGGTGCCGAGGGTATTTCTTCAATCTGCATAATCCCTTGTATCGATGATCTCCTACCACCGGGGCTCTGATTCACGCTTGGAGCCGCTTTTTAACCCGTCAGGGTTTGAGAACTTCTCAGAAAACCCAGTTGATGCGCGGGCAGCAATTTGTCATCCCGTGGTGCTTGTGCAGTGCAGCGAGACGTTTTAATAACGTGGAGGTGCCTCTTTTCGGTCTCGGGCCTGCCAGGAGCTGCCAAAGTTGTTTGCAGAGCGGTCAAAGCAGCTCCGTGGCAGAGGTGTGTGTTACCACTGCCCTGCCTTGACACTTTTATCTTCATTAGCTTCTTGGCACTTCGTTGACCGGGGGGACCCCACGCGCCCACGGCCTCCCGGGTGTGAGGAGACGTGGAGGCTTTGGGCCTCTTCCAAGCCCCAGGGTGGGAATGCAGGGGTTCTGAAGAGGAAAAGCGGTGGCTGTTTGAAGAGTGAAAGGCCTTCAAAGTGCTCAGAGAGGTTCAGCCGTGCTGAGGCAGGGAAATAAATGTGTGTGTGGTTCAGAAGTGCAGAGCTCAGCCAAGGGAATCCACCTTGGGGGAGGAGAAGGCTGAGCCTGCTCCTCTGGCAGATGGTCTCCTTTGTACATGGAGGTTTTCCTCTTTGTTTGGGAAGGGAATCCCAACTTTTTTTTATTGTATTTAGAAGTATATCTGAATTTCAAGGCCAGGTTGGATGCACTCAGAGCAGCCTGGTCTGGTGGAGGGTGTCCCTGCCCATGGCAGGAGGTTGGAACTGGATGATCTTGAAGATCCCTTCCAACCCAAACCATTCTATGGTATTGTGAGGAGAAAGGCAAGATGCTTTTGCCTGTGGACTGTCAGGTGAAGACAGGCAGGGTCTTCTGGATCACAGGGATGCTTGTTGATGCCCAGTGTTGTACAGATAATGGACAACACCTCATTGATCCAAGCAGAGAAGATTCCACCTGTCACTGCCTTGTCAAGTTTAGCAATAGCATGGAAAAGGTGAGATAGTTCCAAGATCTCCTGGTCCTGACAGTGGCCTGTGGGTCACCCAACTCCATCCATGTGAAGCTCTGTTGGCTCCTTTGTGGCCATCAGAGCCCCAGTGCTCCCACCACCGTGGTGCTTCTTGCTGGACTGCAGTTCCAGCTTGGAGCAGGGCACAGCTGGGAAGGTGGATGGATGAAAGCACGACAAGGAGAGGTCTTTGTTTTGTTCTTCAAGTTGGTTTTAATTTGTTCTGTTTGTACATTGTGTTCTCTGTCTTTTAAGCCACCGAATTAAACTGAAATAAGGCAGGTTTAAATTAGATCTCGGGAAGATGTGAGGGTGGGGAGGCCCTGGCACAGGTTGGGCAGAGAAGCTGTGGCTGCCCCTGGATCCCTGGAAGTGTCCAAGGCCAGGTTGGAGCAACCTGGGCTAGTGGAAGGTGTCCCTGCCCATGGCAGGGGTTTGGAACTGGATGATCTTCAAGGTCCCTTCCAACCCAAACCACTCTGTGATTCTGGGAAATGTTAACACAATATTGACTTAAAAGATACCACCTGGAACTGTTTGTGCTTCTGGCTGTTTTCACTGGGCAAAAATGCACCAAAATAGGGAGGTTAAAGGGATTTCCCCTCCCTTCCCAACATAGTTCAGTAGTAGCTGTTCCACAGCAATTGTAGATCAGAGGAAAAAAATTCAAAATAATGTGGGATGATCAAGTTTAGGGGAATGACCAAAATTGATTCTTGGTACAGTAAAATATGAAGTGATAGGAAAATGTGGTGACTTGGTTTATGTCTTGAATACAGATCCCTGCAGTGGGAAATAAACACTGAAAAGGTGCTGTCTGGGGGCATCAGAGCTCCTCCTTGAGTACATTTCAGGCCTGATTTTCCTCTTGTGCTCAAGGAAATTGGGAGCAAATCCATCACCATGTGGTGAAGAGGAAAAGAGTCAAGCCCAGATGATCAAAATCACTCTTCCGAGCAGACAGTAATTTAAAAAGGGACTTTTTTTCCCATCCTGGGACAATTCTAAATCCACAAGTACCTCTAATGAAGTGCTAAAATAAACCAAGTTTCATCTCAAATCCTTCTGTAGGAGTGAGACTCGAATATTTAAGGTTTTACAAGGAAACAATGGTTTTCCCCCTCGAGTTTAACTTTGCTCTTTCCCCCTCAGTGCTGTGTTTTAGAAATCTGCACTGAATCTAATCCCACAAACAACCTTGTTAAAATGTGAAATAACTGAGTCTTCCGCCTCTTGCTTTCAACCACTGGATTTCCAAATCCCTCTGAGGATCTCCAGGAGCTTTGGGATCAGCCCAGAGCCTGCTCTTGGAATCAGTTCCCGGTTTTCTCCCCAGCTTCTGGCCAGCTGGGAATGCTTTAGCTCTGCGTTTCCATGGGTTTGTTGTGAGCAAGGGAGTGGAAGAGGAAGGTTTGATGTTTGTCTGTGGAGCTGCTGCAATCCAGAGCCACGCTGATCTCCCCTCACAGCCAGATCGACGCTCGTGGTCTCCTTCCAAGGGGAATCTGTGTCCAGCACTCCAAGAATTTCACTCTGGGCTCCGATGAGGGAATGTAGGGGATGGATTAGAGCTCCTTGCTCCAGGCCTCTCTCTCCCTCTGTCCAGGGAATCATAAATCCCCTGTGTTGAATTTCCTCTGCAAGCGCAAAATTCAGCGTCGAGGGAGATTTGGGGAAAGGCAGGTGGGAACCCACCTGGTTGGAGGGACGTGGCTGTGCAAGGGATGAGGACAGGGGGATTCCACTCCTCTCCATCATTTTCTTCATTTATTTTATAGCTATAACTTGATGGGTTTAAATTTTAACATCAGCTCTTCAAAGCCCAGCAGTGAGGTCAAGACAGACAAGATCGGGGTTAGATGGGATATTGGGAAGGAATTCCTGGCTGGGAGGGTGGGGAGGCCCTGGCACAGGTTGGGCAGAGAAGCTGTGGCTACCCCTGGATCCCTGGAAGTGTCCAAGGCCAGGTTGGAGCAAGCTGGGCTAGTGGAAGGTGTCCCTGCCCATGGCAGGGGGATGGAACTGGATGGTCTTGAAGGTCCCTTCCAACCCAAACCATTCCCTAATTTTGTGTTTACTGCTTTTCCCATAGCAGATATTTTGTGTGTGTTTTCTCATATTGGAAAGCCAGTTGTGGTTGTTGTGGGTTCCTGTTGGATCCCAGCCCAGCTGGGGAATGAAAGGTCTCTCTCTGATGCGTTAATTTTTCTCTTATTACCTCTGATAGAGATGCTTAATAAAAGGTTGCTCCCCTCAGGAACACAATTCCCATCTATCTTTTTCCTGGAATCCCAGACTGGTTTCTCAGGGAATGGTCACGGCCCCAAACCTTCCAGAACTCAAGGAATGTTTGGACAATGTTGTCAGGGACAGGGTGGGATTGTTGGGGTGTCTGTGCCGGGCCAGGAGCTGGATGGATGATCCTTGTGGGTCCCTTCCAACTCAGGATATTCCATGATTCTGTGAGATGTATAGCACTTCCTCCTGCTGCTTCCATGTGGTCCAGGGCTTCCATACCCAGCTCAGGGCATAGTGAAGGGAAAGCCCCTAAAAAGTTGGACCCCTTGACACGACACCTCTGTGCTCTGGTACCTGAGGCATTGTGGTGGTTGGAAGATGGAGATGATCCCTCCAAGTGCTCCAAGGGACCATCCAGAACAACATTCCCACCATTCCTACCAGGCAGGAAGCTTTGGGTTGGGTTTTTTTTTAACCTGTTTTTATACATTTTGCTGTTAAATGTGGTTTAAAGACACGAGAGATGTGAGGAGCAGCATGAAAACAAGACACCGGGTGAGCCTCCGAGCCAGCCCTGACTCTGCTGCTGGGGAAACTGGTTTGGCTGATTTTTTTCCTGACTTGTTTTGCTGGTAGATCCGACAGAAGCTGGAAATCACATTAAAGGGCTGATCAATTAAATGAACTATCCCGGCGAGGTGTCTCCTCTCCGCATGTACTTGCTTGTGTCTCCCAAGGGCTCTGTTGGAGGAGGAGCTGCAGACAGATGAGCCGGGTTTGTTAGTCACTGGAT